TGAAAGAAGAATCACTTGTCATTTAAATGTGGAACAATAATGTGGTGGTCACTCAGAATGACACATAGGCTTCAAGATCTGGCATCGCCGTCACTATAAAATGAACCAAAATTAAGATCTCACAATATCACTGAACCATATGTAAACCATAAGAGTTTTGGATGGTACAATTTATGAAAGAAGAATTACTTGTCATTTAAATGTGGAACAAAATACGATGGTCACTCAGAATGACACATAAGCTTCACTTAAAATGAAAAAAAATGCCTTTATCGCACAATGAACCAAAATTAAGATGTCACAATATCACTGAACCATATGTATAAACCAAAAGAGTTTTGGATGGTACAATTTATGAAAGAAGAATCACTTGTCATTTAAATGTGGAACAATAATATGGTGGTCACTCAGAATGACACATAGGCTTCAAGATCTGGCATATGCCGTCACTTTCATAAAATGAGCCAAAATTATAAAGATCTCACAATATCACTGAACCATATGTATAAACCATGAGAGTTTTTGAATGGTACAATTTATGAAAGAAGAATCACTTGTCATTTAAATGTGGAACAATAATACGGTAGTCACTCAGAATGACACATAGGCTTCACTCAATAAAATGAAAAAATGCCGTCATTTGCAAAATGAACCAAAATTAAGATCTCACAATATCACTGAACCATATGTATAAACCATAAGAGTTTTGGATGGTACAATTTATGAAAGAAGAATCAATTGTCATTTAAATGTGGAACAATAATACGGTGGTCACTCAGAATGACACATATGCTTCAAGATCTGGCATACGCCGTCACTCGCAAAATGAACCAAAATTAAGATCTCACAATATCACTAAACTATATGTATAAACCATAAGAGTTTTGGATGGTACAATTTATGAAAGAAGAATCACTTGTCATTTAAATGTGGAACAATAATATGGTGGTCACTCAGAAGGACACATAGGCTTCAAGATCTGGCATACGCCGTCACTCGCAAAATGAACCAAAATTAAGATCTCACAATATCACTAAACTATATGTATAAACCATAAGAGTTTTGGATGGTACAATTTATGAAAGAAGAATCACTTGTCACTTAAATGTGGAACAATAATAAGGTGGTCACTCAGAGGGACACATAGGCTTCAAGATCTGGCAAGTGCGGTCACTCACAAAATGAAAAAAATTAAGATCTCACAATATCACTGAACCATATGTATAAACCATAAGAGTTTTGGATGGTACAATTTATGAAATAAGAATCATTTGTCATTTAAATGTGGAACAATAATACAATGGTAACTCAGAATGACACATATGCTTCAAGATCTGGCAAACTTGTGCCGTCACTTGCAAAATGAACCAAATTAAGATTTCACAACATCACTGAACCATAATTATGTATAGATGTAAAACAAGAGTTTTTGACTGTAAAAATTTCACAAGGGAAATCATTTGTCATTTGAAATGTAGTAGAATATTAAATAATAAATTATAGTGACCACTGCTTTGTCAAGTGCTGTCACCCGAAAAGTACAGTAACCCCAAATATCTAACATATTAACTCAGCTGTACAACAAGCCAAATTTCTGAATTATGGACATGCTAAGGTCACATCACCGACTTATATTGGTGTAAACGAAATGTTTGCCTGCACAGCTCAAGATCCGGCTACTTATTAAGATTATTCTATTAATGAAGACGATGCGCAACAAAAGTACAGTTATTTCTGCAGTAAACAAAAAGGAATCAATCAATGGCATATCTGTGCATGCATCTTAAATTTTAAGATTTATCTTTGAGGTTTTAAGCTTACGCAAAGTTATTAGAAAACCAAAGTAAGTAAACGAACCACGATATCAAGAAGAACATACCTTTCTGCAATCCAGCTGAGTTGATGACTTGGAAACAGGCTTTTTATGTGAAGAATATCGCAACTGATCACTGTCTCTCGAAGATAACAAAGGTATAAATCGTAATAATAGAACAGCTGAATAGAAAGACAGGCTTTCTTTTATCCGAAAATAACAAAACTACTCGTTTTGCAACGCTGTATCGCTTGTGAAGTCCGCGTGAATTTGAACTGTTCAACGAAAGTTTATTTTACACTATTCTATTGGTTCAAAAGGCGCACGTGACAATGTAAATCAAATCGCGCATGTGCCAAAGTCACATGGAAGCCTGGGCAACAAACATGGCGGCTGATCTTGCGACGGAGTGCATTCAGGACTACATTCACCCGGACGATGAAACTCTGCAATCTACTATTGAAATGACTCCTGGGTTCAAACCTTTCACATATTGTGCATTTTGTTCACCCAAATTATAAATGGTAACGTTTTACGTCAGGGCCTCCTATTCCGAGACTTCTTGTGATATTTTTTTTCCGAGCCACCCACACAATGTCAGGAAACGCATTCGACGCTAAACGAAAAAAAAAGGGGATGAAATAACCAGCTGCAGCAAGTAATATTATAAACTTTGAGAAGAATGTG